CTGAAAGAGACCACATGGATGGAAATTCACTGAGTCAGACCCACGTCTCCAGCAGGGAGCGTCCGTCCATGGGCGTGGGTGGAGGAAATCTAAGACCTGCCCGGCCAGCCCGGCTCCCGGCAGCCTCTCCACTCCCAGGGCTCCATGCTTCCTGAGAGGAGAGATCCAATCAAGTTGGCGGGGCGTGGCTGTGCAGAGAGGTGGACCAACGTGTCTCGGCCAGTTGGCATTGTCAGGGGTCCTGGAGCGTGGGTCCCCATCTCCTCTGACCCAGAGGTCTCCACAAGCTGAGCTTCCCAACAGGGCCTACTCTGGGCAGCGTGCCACATGGGGCCTCACCCTGGGCTCAGGAGCTCACAGCTCCCGGCGAGGCCAACCGGTATGTGCGGTCCGAGGGGCACGCTGATACAGCCCCCCGGATCTTCCTCCCTGGCTCTTGTCAACACAGGGAGGAACGATGAAGTGAGGGAGTGAGTGAGCGCAACCGTGTTCTTGAAACAGCTGGAGTGCGTTTGGCTTGGTGGAAGCCAGAGGACCAGAACTGACCACTTCCGAGACCCCCCAAGCCAAGCCCAGCCCTCCCAGTCCTGCTGTCCCGACCTGCTAGCTCCCCACTCACATTTCTCGAAGGTCCACGAATCGACTGAGCTGTTGGGAGAGCTCTAAGGGGGGAGAAAACTGAGAAAGTAAAATATAAGATCCTCCTTGAAGCTGGTGGTTGGGGAAAGCACCCAAACATTTCATGTCTCTGTCACAAATATCAAGAAAAATATTTTGATACATTAATTAAGGTTCCTTTTCTCCTTCCTGCCTGCCTGGAATGTGGGTGTGCTGTCTAGAGGCACAGGTGCCATTTTGTAGCTGTGATGTTAGACAGAGGGTCAGAAGGGACACACACAAACACTGGTGAGGGAGAGAGAAAGAGAGAGAGGAAGAGGGAAAGGAAAAGAAGGAAGATACTCCACTGAGTCGCCACATCTTACTTGAGCGGTGACTGCTGCGAGGGGCTCTGTCTGGGCTCTGGGGTCCCGAACCCCTCCTCTGTCACCACACCCTGGCCCAGGGCAGGAGGGCTCCTTGCCTCTCGGCTCTGCCAGAGCCAGGGTGGAGAAGCGGCAGGACGCGCTCGCGGCAGCCCGTGGCCTTGGTCCTTGGGGTGTGTTTGTTCAGAGCTCTCCCTGGAGCAGTCGGCTGCAGATGTTTTCCCAAGAGTGAAGAATGAGCAGAGGACCAGCAGGGCGGCTGTCCAGGCCCAGCACACAGGACTGTGAGGGTGCGTGTGTGTACTGCGTGCATGCGTGTGCGTGGGCAGGGCCGCTGTGCTACGATCTCACAACACGGAAAGTCCGGCCCCGTGGGGTTTGCAGATCACTTTTAGACGCCCGCACAAACAGCTTTCTCGAGATACAATTCAGATACCATGCAAATCACTTTCATTTATTGATTGATATCATTTCTCTTCTTAAAATGTGGTACCAGGCATGTGTGCTCAGCACAGAAAGAGAAAGAAAGTGAGAAATCATCCCTCGGGGAGGATGGCTACGCCACGGTCCCTTCTCATCCAGTCTCCTCTCAGGATTTTGGGTGTGCACGCGCGCGCACACACACACAGTTTTTCAAACTGCCAGGTCCAGGACTCAAACCGCACGGTCGGCCGTGTGGAGCTGAACATCTTAACCCCCACGCCCCCTGCTGGCCTGGTCACTCACATTTTTCCGCTTCACCTTCCCAGCCAGGTCACAGCTATGTGTCAGGTGTGCACAGGTCGGCCGGGGAATCGAACTATCGTCTCCATGTGGATGCACCATTGATGCAGCATATACACTGCTCCCCGCCCCGAGCCATCTTGGCTCACCCACTCATAGTGTAGGATTTGGTTTTTCTAGTGTCACCTCAGAGCTGTGCACACAGCACCACGATCACCCCAGGACAGTTGCATCACCCTCTAAAGAAGCCTCGCGTCACTACCGGTCACTCCTCGTATAAGCACATGCGTGTGCTGAACCCCGACCCTCAAAGTGCAACCCAGGACTTGGCCCTTGCCGAACCTGGCCCATCAGGGCCTCCCGCCTGCAGAATGGGGACATTGGTTTCTTTTGCTCTCGGTCACCCAGTCTTAGTGCACATTAACGCAGCCTGACCTGACGGGTGTCCCCACTTCCCCCCTCCTGCCTGTCAACCTCAAACCAATGGCTTTCCCAGCCCTAGACATTGCATCGATGTGGGATCTTAGGACACGTGGTCTTGTGTCTCACTTCCCTCCATAGCGAAAGGCTCCAGGTTCTACCCGTGGGCCGTACGGGGCTCCACCGTATGAGTACATACCCTCCCCTGCTCCCTTCACCAGCCTGTGGCATTGAGCTGTCCTACTCTGGGCTCTTCGGTCGTGCTGTGACATAACGTGACCTCAAGCTTTCGTGTGCGCAGACGGTTTTACCCATCCGGGGTATACGCCTAGGAGGAGGCTTACAGGGTCCCACCGGAACTGTGCTCGCGCTCTCAAGGAACTGCAAGACTTCTCCAAGGCGGCTGCAGCAGGGACCCCAGCCAGCGTCTCCCGAGGGTTGACCCCATCTGGCCCACTCACTACCGGCCAGCGCCTCCCAGGTTCTGAACCCCTCTGGCCCACTCCCTTGTCTGTGGTTTTGGTCCCAGTCACCGCAGGGGAGGGAGTGCTAACATTCTGCTCGGCGCTCTCCTGGTGCCTGATGGCTGAGCGCTTCCCATGCGGTCCCTGGCACTTAGCATCTCTGGAAAACCCCCCCGTCGTGTGTTAACTGCAGAGGGCGTGTGTTCATGGGGGAGACCGAGGCTGAGGGCACACGCCCAGGTGGGACATGCTCACACTGCAGCTTCCGCTTCCCCAGTCTGCGGGGATTTGGGGCACACGCACACACGTGTCTGGTGTATTTTCAGGCTGGGGGTAGATTGCGGTATGAATACCTTTGGGGGGATGTCTATCTCTCTATCTCTCTGTCTCTATCTTTCACTCAGGGAAGCAAGAAAGAAAATGTTAAAAAAGAATAGGATAAAAAAAAATCAAAACCAGGAACCAGCAGTTAGCGTAATGGCTATGTCACTGGACTCCCACGTAGTCAACCGTGGTTCGCGTCCCGGACCCGGTTGCTTAAAACTCACGCCGGGCACGTGTGCATGTGTGCCCAAGATCCCGAGAGGAGAATGGAGGAGAAGAGATTGCGGCGTGACCATCCCCCCTGGGGGATGATTTCTCGCTTTCTGTCTCTAATGTCTCTCTCTATCTGTCTGGCGAGCGCACGCGCCCTAGAGCAAAAAAACTCTCTCAAAAAAAAAAAAAAAAAATCAAAACCAAGCAATATCTAGCCCCCTAGTGAGGCCGGGAGTGAAGCGACAACTGAGACCTAGGCACGTGCCAGGTAGACTGGAAGCATCCCCTGGTGGGCTCCCTGGAGGTGGTATTCACCCAGAGCCCTTCCGAGCCAATTTACATGTCACAGGAGGACCAAGCGCAAAGGAGGCCCAATAGGGAAGTAGCTGCCGCACAGTCAGGGAGGATGATAGGAAGCCATGGTGAGCACCCCCTCCTCCAGGAAGGCCGAGTCCCGAGTCACGAAAGGTTGAAGTGGAACACGGCACCCTCTTCCCACTCAATAGTGGAAGTCGCTGAAGGGTGCCCGAGGAGTCTGGGGACACAGACTTCACGCTGCCGGAATGATGCCGCCTGGGACTCAAATCCTGCCCGCAGGAGGGCTGTGGGGCCTCAAGCAAGTGGCTTCCTCCTCCCCGGGTTTCCGGCTGTATCTACCCCATGGTGGCCGTGGGAACCATGTGCAAAGTCTGACACACGCAGGCTCGTCAACGTGAGCTCTCACTACAGACACCTGCAGAGCAGCCGCTCTTGAGGAAGCAGCCCCGTGCTTTAGCCACCTACGTGTCCGTGTCTGGGAAAGTTTGGGAATGCAGCAGGGAGACAGACTTCTAGCCCTCAGTCTGGATTTGACTCCATGACCTGAGACCACGTGACGATTCTGGGTCAGGGTTCCTCAATTTAGGCTGATGCTCCTCCATCATCGGGCTGTCTTGGGCTTGGTAGGGTGCTCAGCAGAATCCTCGGCCTCCCCCCAGGGCCATGCCCTGCCGCGCCCCAACCGTGACGGCATGGATGTCCTTAGACACGGTCTGCTGGGACTAAAACCCCTCCTGGCCAAGGATCCCTGCTGTAGGGGAAAAGTGACAAAGAGTTACCGCGTTTGGTGACGTTTCCTTTACTTCCACAGAAGCCTCGAGGAGCACTACCTCGCCGGGAGGCTGTGGAAATGGCACGCAGAGTGACAGGGACTGCTCCGGTGGTGCGAGGCGAAGCCTTTGAAAGGGTTTAAAATCCGTCCTGTTCGCCCTGGCCCTGAGCCAGCGCAGGCCGGACTCGAGGCCCGTATGCACCTCTTACTCTCTGTACTTTGTTCTCTGTCACTAAGTGACAATCACAGCCCACAAGTGGTGGGCCCTGCAGAACCATGGCCGTGGCCGTCCACTGGGGGAGTGCACCCCAACTCCAACCACTCACCTCGCTGCGGTTTGGGAGCGTCTCCCCCAAAGGCACATGCTGAGACTTGCTTGTGACAGGACTAAGGGGGTGAGACTTTGATGACGGTGTCAAAAGGCGGGCCCTTTGGGAGGAGATCAGGATTCAGGTCATTAGGGTGGGCCCCATGAGTGACACAGACCGCCCTCACCACGGTGACACCATGCCTGGAGACACCAAGAGACCCACCAGCGGTGGCCCTGGGCCCCCAGCTGCGAAGTACACCTCCGTTCTTGGAAGTCACCCCGTGTCAGGTGTTTTCTGTTATTAGCGACAGAATGAACGAGGCACCCCTTCATGACTTTCGCCTTTACCCACAAAATGATGCCTCTTATTCAACATTTTATTTAAATCAACTCCACTCGGTCTTTCCTCATTTAGACACCTGCTTTCGACTTAAGCAATCGTCTTTAAGGCTTGTGTTTGTGTTCTTCTTATGTTTTTTTTTTTTTTTTTCCTAGTGCATTTAAAAATAAGTAGATAAAATAAAAGGCACTGGTGACCTATCTGAAACCATCCATGCGCCCTCAGTGGAGTTTGGAACGGCCTTTGAACGACATGGAAACACAAGCCTTCCGGCCGAAAGTGCGCTGCAGTGTAAAGCAGAACTGGAACCGGGCAGGACTTCCACGCTGATGCCCATCACAGAATCCGGAGACTGCTGAGCATGGCGACAAGACCGGCTGCTCCGCTGCAGATTCTTCACACCGAGGGGTCTGGACTGGGACACCGACGGAGGTGAGGCTGGCTTCTGTCCCTGTGCCAGAGGCCACGGTGGGCTCCAGCCACCAGGGCTACCTGGTGGCCAAGGAACCTGTCCCCACAGGAGAGCTGAGCGGGTTCTGCGTCCTCTCTGCTGGGCCCCGATTCTCTGCAGAAGGCCTCTCACCTGTCTGAGTGGGCAGAGCAGATCTGTGACCCCGAGAAATGCAAGGGTGCTCCCCAGCAGCTGCCCCGTGGTCAGAGGGAGCGGAGCACGTGCACCCTGGGCCTGCTCCTCCAAGGGCAACTCCCTGTTGGTGTCGTCAGAGATTCTTCAACTTATCCCCGTGCCCCTCAGACCTGGCCTTTCTCAACTTCTTCACCTTTTCTAATTCTGAGCCCGGCTCCCTGGAAGCGTCTGCTTTAAGGAACAGATGGTGTTTGGAGTACTTACCCCAGCCCATGCCTCACACGGGGAGGCCGGGCCCTCGGGAGGCTGGCCCCTTGGCAGCCATGTTTGGACTTCTCGCTCTGCCTGGTAGCCACAGCCGATTGGCTCGGGGGTGACATGTGACCTATGCTGAGCCAATCAGAGGCTTTCCTGGGCAGTTTGCTGGAGACCCAGAGCCTGGGAGTTGGAGGTTTTGCCAGATGCTTCAGCTTCCTTTCCACAAATCTCCCTTGGCAGGGTGGAAGCGGATTGTGCAGTTCACACGTTCTTGCCTAAGATGGTTCTCAAGGCTTCGGTCATTCTTATGTTGATCATAAAACTGAGAGGTCTGGGACATGGGAAGGTTCTAGAAGCTACCTTGCACCTGTCTCCCTGGGTGACCAGGTAGGTTTGTGCCTAGTTGCTTATAGGTCAAAAATGACCCCAGTTGCTTGATTTTGTTGAGTTCTTAATGTAGGGATGAGATCAGGGTGAAGTGAGTGGGGTAATCCCACTCCCCTTAGTCACAAGATTTACAGGAGCACTAAAACACTCAGCCGTCCAGGTGAACAAAATGGTCAAAATTAACAAAATGGTCAAAATTAATACCAAAGAGTCCCATGATGAAGAAAACACCAAAATCCTGAAGACAAGACTCATCACAGCACCAGACCAAGCCATGCTGGAGCCTGAAGCCAAAGGAAAATTCAGTGATCCAGTCGGCGGGGACCTGGCTGATCTTCAGTCCTGAGTCTTGGACATTCCCATCCCCACCCTGAATCTGGGGCTCACGGCTCGCCTCACCCGGTCCAGCCTGGCTTAGTGTCTGTGACCGGGGCTCCCCACCTGGTCTTCAGCTCCCTGCCTCATCCTCATGTGACAATGCCAGTTGCCTGTCCCTGGCCTCTGATTCCACAGCCCCATTGCTGGTGACCACAGTCTGTTCCCCAACCAGCGCCGGGAAGAGTTTCAAATGGAGATCAAATCCTACCACCCTTCTGTTCTAGGGGGGTCACTGGGCTTTTTGACTTGAAGGTTGCCCACCTCCCTTCCCCCCATTGGGCCGCCCATGCCCAGGCCTGGCTCCCATTAGCAGCCGCTGCCACCCACCCGCAGGCTAGCAAACGTGGAACAGCTGTGTGCAGGAAATCACCTCCAACCCAGCCCGATGGCGCAGGGATGTCTTTAGTTAACGTAAATAGGCTTTTAACGTTCAGTTTTTTCTCTTTGCGCAAAATACCTATCATTAATTCTGACTTGTGAGATCAAACAGTTAACAACGTGTTGATCCTAGCTTACTTTCAAGTGATGTATTGTATCATTTCAGAGAGTTACGGGGGCTGGTACTCCCTCTGACAAATGCGGCCGAGTCCTCGAGTCCTCGAGCAAGGGCTTGCCAGCGCCAGGGAAGGAAGCAATTAACAGCTCCGCTCCAGGGTTCCCAGCGCCGGTCTCATGCCCCCACGTTCCCCAAACACTGGCTTTTCTTTTGTGTCCCGCCTTTTTCTTTTTTCAACCCAAGGAAATGAGTGTCTCTAATTCATCCCTTGGAGCCGCGTCAGAGGTAGAGTGGAAAATAAAAGGTTTGGTCGAGCATCACGGGGGCTTTCTCCCCCTCATTGACATGGCTCTCTGCAGGGTCGCACTAAGAACGTATTTCTCTCCCTGGCAGTTGGGTCACCTTTGTTTTCCCAGGGAAGACTTCATGCATTTCAGTACCCTAAGTCCCAGCAGTTCCAAACAAGAGCATATGCTCAAAACCCACGGTCACAGGGAACTGTAAGCCACTGACACAGGCTGGGTGTACAACGGGATTGGTGCGGACGGTGGCAAACTGCAGAACCATACCCAGCCTGAACGGGCCGCCACTACTCAGAACCACAGACTACGGCCAACGGTGGGTCCACGTTTCAGGGGAACCTGGAAATCTGGATTTTTTGAGTAAAAAAACTTAAAAATACGACACAGGCCAATCAAAAACAGGACCAAAGAGTAGCAGATGAGAAACTCTGCTCTCTAATCGAGTTTCTTGCACTGGAGTGTGTTTGGTCTCAGGGCACAAGCTGGTGAGGGAAGGAGTCCGGAAAACTCTGGAAGGACTGAGGTTCACCATCCAGGAAGGGTCATTTTATTAGGAGTTTTCTTGGGGGGAAGTTTGTGGAATTTCATTGGTGCACAGCTAAATGCATCGTTATGATATTAATACAAACAGAGATATAGAGCAGACTGGAGAAAACAAATCAATGGAAAAAGGCAGAATGTTGGGACTGGCAGGTAGCATAGTGGTTGAGGCGCTGGACTCCCACATGACCGACTGCAGTTTAAGTCCCAGACCTGGTGGCTTGCTTTTCTACTTCCTCCTTCTGTCTCTCTCTGGTCAATTTAAAAAGAATACTGATAACTAAAATTAAACAAATAATGCTTTAAAAAAGATTCAGAAATTGTGCTTTGCAACAGATAGTTGTACAAAATAACCATTATCGATCCTCACTGGCAAGATCAGTTAACATGTTGATTGTAACTTACTGTGAGTAATGTATCATTTTGAAGATTATGGGGTTTCCCTAAGCCCCCAGTTTATATGCGCCTTTTATTATTTTCTTAAAAATTTTGCCAGAGAGCACATGTGCTCACAGAGATAAAGAGAAAGTAAGAGGGAGAGAGAGAAGGTGAAGAGCAGCCTCGCCGTGGGACATGGTCACACGATCCCTCCTCCACGGCTCCCTCCTCCCAGGCTTTCGAGCACGCACACACGTGCACCTGCGCGTTTTTCAGGCTTCGGGGTCCAGATTTGAACCGCCCAGGTCAGGCCCTTCTCTCCTGCTCTCTGGGGCATTCTGAGGAAAAGTTGAGATCCCAGGAGACGTGGCTCAGCCCCCTGTGAACTGGGCGATGTGACCGCAGTGGCCTCCCGGGGTCGTGCTGCGTCCTCAGTGAGGTAAGGCCCAGCGTGGCGGTGTGCACTGTGAGGAGCAAGACTTTGTCTTCACAACAGAATGCACGGAAAGTCCTGGAGCAGGGAGAAGCGTCATTTCAGCCGGGGGGATTATTACCACTCCTTAGAGACAAAGAAAGGGGTCTCCCGAGAGACATCTTGATCCTGGAGGCGCAGGGCCTCCCGCTGTACCCTTCTGTCGTTGCCCCCACCCAGCCCTTCTTCCTCTTTCTGGACGCAGCCCACCTCCTCCGCCTGTGCCCCCTCTCTCTGTGAGTAAGTGCTGGGTTACGGCGTCCCCTCGATGGGGACAGCTGTGTTGCAGGCCAGCTTCACTGTCCGACATGGAGCTGAGGCCCTCCGCCTGGCCCTGGGAGCCTTCTGCCCCGCCAGCTGAAGTCCCCTCGCTGGTTTGAGTCTGGTCTTCCTGTCCTGCCACCCTTCTGTCCAGTTGTCCCTCTGGGGCAGTCCCACTCCTGTGCCCACACTCCCCACCGAGCACAGCACCGCGGGGCTGGCACAGCTGGCTGGTCTTGATTCCTTACTCCGACTCCGTGACAAGTTGTGAACTGGAGCTGTCGCAGACAGGAGCACAACGTGGTGCCTGTCACCTCCCACCCGGCCTCCTGCATGGCGAGCGTCCCGTCTGCCTCCAGCCGTGCCGACGCTCAGGCCCTCTGCGACGCGGGGTACGAGTGGACACACAGCAGGCGTGCATCAGAATCCAGCAGACGCAGCGCGTGCCGACCTCGTCCCGCACAGGCTGCCTGCTCCAGTGGAAATCATTTCTGGCGGGATGCTGATACGATTGGGGTATGCTGAGTGATTTATGGAGTCGTTAAACATACACTAAATCAATCTTGCTTTTTTATTTTTTTCTAAGGTGGGGGTGGAGAAACGACATCCCTAAGGGGAAAATAAAGTCTCCGAGCTCGAATTTTCTACCCGGGGCCTGACATTGCGCAGAAAATGGCCACTGCTGTAACCCGAGCCAGCCAGTCCATTCGAGTCTGATAGTTTCTATGTTCCCCGAATCCTGCGAAATGTGTATCCAATTAGCCACTACTGAAGGGCCTTATTTATAAAATAATACTTTCGTGGTCAGGTTGCACTTTTTCCACTCGTCTCTGGTGCACGGGGCTCAGGTTGCAGGTTCCGCCTGTGATTAATGGAGACAAACAGCGGATTTCTGCTGGCATCCGCGTGCAGGGTGGAGGCCCGAGCAGATTTCCGTGCGGCACCCAAGCCCTGAGAGTCTCTGTTCATCCCGGCCTCACCCAGGAACCCGGGTGAGGAGGGCGGTGGGCCGTGCTGGGTGGGAAGGGGGCACGCGAGCAGTAGGGAAAATGTGCTCACAGAGATAAAGAGAAAGTAAGAGGGAGAGAGAGAAGGTGAAGAGCAGCCTCGCCGTGGGACATGGTCACACGATCCCTCCTCCACGGCTCCCTCCTCCCAGGCTTTCGAGCACGCACACACGTGCACCTGCGCGTTTTTCAGGCTTCGGGGTCCAGATTTGAACCGCCCAGGTCAGGCCCTTCTCTCCTGCTCTCTGGGGCATTCTGAGGAAAAGTTGAGATCCCAGGAGACGTGGCTCAGCCCCCTGTGAACTGGGCGATGTGACCGCAGTGGCCTCCCGGGGTCGTGCTGCGTCCTCAGTGAGGTAAGGCCCAGCGTGGCGGTGTGCACTGTGAGGAGCAAGACTTTGTCTTCACAACAGAATGCACGGAAAGTCCTGGAGCAGGGAGAAGCGTCATTTCAGCCGGGGGGATTATTACCACTCCTTAGAGACAAAGAAAGGGGTCTCCCGAGAGACATCTTGATCCTGGAGGCGCAGGGCCTCCCGCTGTACCCTTCTGTCGTTGCCCCCACCCAGCCCTTCTTCCTCTTTCTGGACGCAGCCCACCTCCTCCGCCTGTGCCCCCTCTCTCTGTGAGTAAGTGCTGGGTTACGGCGTCCCCTCGATGGGGACAGCTGTGTTGCAGGCCAGCTTCACTGTCCGACATGGAGCTGAGGCCCTCCGCCTGGCCCTGGGAGCCTTCTGCCCCGCCAGCTGAAGTCCCCTCGCTGGTTTGAGTCTGGTCTTCCTGTCCTGCCACCCTTCTGTCCAGTTGTCCCTCTGGGGCAGTCCCACTCCTGTGCCCACACTCCCCACCGAGCACAGCACCGCGGGGCTGGCACAGCTG